AATGACTTCAAGCTCTTTTCAGGTTGACTACCTATCCTGCTAGACCCCTTCTTTGGTTGCAGCACCTGCCGACTCTATAGACTAGTCCGTGTAACGTGATTGCCAGTTTGCCCCTAAAACCACTCCGACTACTTAGTGAAATATATAACACTTAAGACTGTCTAGAGATGTATTTATTTGTGGTGGTATGAGGGGAACATTCAGAATCCGGCCACAATACAGCAGCTGCTCTTTTGTTCTTTGAAAAACCAATGATTGGCAGTCCGATAAAATCAGCGCACATAAACAATTTGACCGTCGAAAGAAGAGTAGCTAGGATCAGCTGAATGGGTGAACTTCCTTATCCCCCAAAAGAGCACCTATATTTTATAACACATTTAGAGCGCTAACGCGTAGTCATGTTACTGTGCCGTTCCATCGTGAAAAGGTCGTCTAATAACGATAAACTATGGGTGAATATGTCTTTGGTGAATTCAGAACAACAATCGGAAAGGCAAAAGAGGCGTTTATCACTCTGAAGTCAGATTGGAAATCTGTACTCGGCAGCATGAATTTTCAGCACCGATGTCAAATCAACACCTCTGTATGAGCCAGAAATCTGGCGAGCGCATCACGAAAACGATTTTCAACTAGTTACAGACTTTTTATCAACTACCACATTTTATCAACAGACACAGACTGGAAGTCTGAAGGAATGTTGTAGAATCACGAGACAAGCCATCGCTCGTGCATTCTGGGCATTGTCTAAAAGCAAATCGGCCCTTGGGAAATCGAAAGGCTCTCCCATATCATTCGATCCTAGGTAATATGGAGTAGGATAACTCACCAACTTAACAACCTCCGTTTTTCTACTTAGAGTAAAATCATAGAACATCACTCGAAACGGCGGCAGAAATGCCTTCGTTCATTTTGTCTGCACAGCTTTTACTGAAGCATGTCATAAAAATTTAAACTGTTTAATACCCTGAAATGAAAAGTTCGACTGTATAACAACACTTGAAAATGTTTAGTTTGAATTTTCTAGATCTTAGATATGATAGTATGAGAAACACCAAAAAATCGCTCGTGTTTCACTCTAAAGCCCGCCTATGAGAGAGGCTGCAATGGTTCAGATCTTGAAAAGGAAGATTCTAGCTTTAAAAACGGGGGTGGTGAACAAAAACAGCTTAGCGTTTTTCGTGTGTAATTCAGAACCACTGTGTAACGACAGAAGACAAAGGCTGGGCAACAGATTGTTTATTGAGAAAATTAAGTGACATTTATAGATTTTTATGTGCATTATTTTCAGTGGAGAAGCAACGTCTTTTGATTGGTTGCTTTCTTGGCTTATGTTATTCTGTATTGCTGCGACCGTTTCTCAGAAAATTAAGCAGTAAATCTGCGGATCATATTTCCACACGTCAGATCCGCTGTGACTGGTTGGTGATTTTCTCAAGGTCAAACTTTGTTATCGCTTTTATCATGACCCTGATTCGGGACGTAACATTGACGTAAATTGTTGTCAACAATTTTGGCTTGTTAGCAGCCAGCTCTCACCACAATAATTGTATCGCAGTTGCTATCATTGTTAAAGTATTTTAACTGATATCTGTGTTTGGCTTTCCAGTTATAGTTTGCTGCAGCGTGTTCCATACCTAATGGTTCGTACTGTCTATTCCAAGATGTAATGATTGTAGATGAAAAGTGCCTTATTTGTCTGTATCAGACAGTCCAATATCCATTTTTATTAGTAGCCCTAATATAATCATCAAAGTGTCCGTTGGAAAAGACCTAGAACTTGTTTTCCCTTGTGTCAAAACAAACAGGTGTTGTTAGAGCTAATGGTGCCAACTGGAAGCTCTATTTTCGGATCTACTTACAGGGACAGGCACAATGAAAATTCAGAACATTAATCAGTTATCTCCAACAAGTAGGTTAGATAATAGCTGAAAGCACTTAACATGACATTACTCCCAGCAACAAGAAGGAATTTTCTTTTCTTCGAGAAGTTACAGAGGTCTGCAGCCGGTTAATCATCTGGCTAGGCGTTGATGCTCACTTCGACAAAACGAGGTAACTGCCGTAGAACTTGGCAATGATACAAAGACTAATTTCTTCGAGACGACGTTAAGTGATCGTATCAGCACTGTATAACAGGCAGCAATCTGTCTGAAGGGTCGATTCACCAGCTTTGACTGCCATTTCATACAACAGCCTCTTGCCTTTCAGGTATTCCATTAGTACAGCCTTCAGACAAAATCCTGAGGCAGGCAAGATAGCAGAATTTTTTTCTTCCCATGGTAAAGATGTCAGTAGACAACAGGTTTGAAGCTCCTAAAAATAGAAGGAGGAGCTCAGGAACTATTAATTATCAATGAAAGCACCAGGGATAAATCATGCACAGTATCACTGCACCCGCAGTGATTAGAAGAGAGAGTCCAAAGACGGGCGAAAAAAGGAGTGATAGGTCCTCGAAACTAAACGTGTGATTAATGGCTAAAGAAATCAGGTCTATAAACACTTAGCTACCGTCGGCTCAGTGGGGATTCGATTACTGCCATAAGATGACGAATGACCAGAATAACCCAAACGAAAGCGTCCTGGGAGTAAGTACGTGATGACTTCCTCTTGGGAATCCACGAAGTATAGCTCACCAGAGAGCAGGGGCTCGAGTGAGCCCCTATTTCTTTTCACTTCAGGTTTGCCACCCCTGGAACTCCTTACTGGCAGATGTGGCTACAGCACTGTCCATGGACAGCTTCAGGTGAAGGGAAGAAAATCATGCAGCGACACAAGGACTCCGACCGAATAGCCTATCACCTCAAAATCTCATACACTACTATTTGGTAGACCCCTAAACTCATTTTTTTACTTCTTCACATTCTCTCTTGTCTTAGTCCCATGACTACTCCAACCATTATGTACCTTTCACTGTTATTGTTGTGGATATGTAAGTATGTATATAAATTTCAAATTTCATTAGCTATCTGCTCTGAAGTCTTTCTTCTTTTTCTTAGTCTGTACAACCTTCATTGTTTATTTCTATTACAATTATCTCTTTTCTTTTGTCAGCGACACCGGATGACTGACGGGTGAGAGAATCAATTCCTTTCGCAGTAGGAACACTGTATTGACGCACCACACACTACAAACTACGTATAATTTATCCTAGTACCACTCCCCTTGTAGTCAACCAAAGCTACGGCAGTGAAGTGTCGGGGAAAACTTAGCAGAAGTTTAACAGAGACCAGGAACCCTTACTTCTTAATCAAGAAGTGAGCACAAAGAAATCAAATTGGTTTACGCTGGGTCGTGAAACACGATGTTGAATACCTGGGGATTTTGTGCGCTCGACATAACTCCCTACGTTACCATCACCATTACGTCTTGTAAGGAAAAAGTCCTAATTCCTGAATGGTATATGTTATCAGGTTCTGATTGACGGCAGTCAACGAAGAAAGTTTGTAGGTGTATGCATAATTATTTTGCTATACTTATTGTGCATAATCATTGGGAAGTTATTGTAACCCTTTTAATATATTCTCGTCGATGGTGTAAATCAGTAGTTGTGATTTAACACCATATATCTGCAAATATCTTGTGTTGTCACTGCTTTGGTGACAGAATATTCAAAAATTCTTCATGGGGATCAACCTTATTTTTAGTGGACATGTTTTACTTATTTCACTGTGGAAGAATTGAGCAAAGATTTATCAGTGCGCAGTTTGAATACGTGCATCTGTGTGTATCATATACAGTCAAGGAATCACGTATACAACCTGAGGCTCACTATGGCCTCAAACTATCCGATGGCCCTAGTCTATGGGTTGTATTGGCAATTATTTGTATGGGATAATTCAATGATAAAAGCAGTTTTGTATAAGCGTTGTGACTGAAGGTAGCTGCGGTGGAAAGTGGTCTATGTGAAAAAGCTGTCTTTTGAGAATAGATGTATGCATCTACTCACCCATGTTATTTAGTACGGTATTCTGCGTGATACAGGGATTAGGTGTAGTGTTAGGTAAGAAATTATAGTCAATCGATGAGATTACGAAGTTGCATCGATTTAGACGCGTGTAGCCTATGGAAAGCCATTGTTTTCCTCATTAGGCGATGTAAGCTTGCATAGGATTGCGTTCAAATAAAAACACAATCCAAAAATCTTTGTTTAAGAAGTTTTTTACCTACATACTCTCCTATCGTTATCTCATTCTTAGACATGCTCTGGGAACTTTGTGGTATGAATCGCACTGCAGCCACAGTAATATGTGTAACATTTTTATCTGGTTCTCGCACAATTCAGAGCATAGTAGGGATTTTCATGCACAGTTTGTTATGAAATTCTAGAAACAGCTAATCCTGGCTACCTGTCAATTAATTTATGAAGTTAAATGTGAATATTTAAAATATAAGCATTGTTTGTTGGTGATTAGCCGACTCACTTTCACTATATGGATAAAGTGAGCCATAAGAAACCTATGGCTTTTAGATTGGTGTCATGTTTCACATGATTCGCAGAAATTTTCTAGTAGTCTTCCATAATGATATTGTTGCTGGAAATTAAACGTTGTAACATTTTAAGTGATTATTGGTGCGGTTTATATCCTCTTGATCTTTAATACACGGGGAGCTTCATGAATGTTATTTAATATTTTTCTAATGTCGTCTCATTTCATGATGAATGTACCAACCAGCTTAAAAGTGCCTGCTTGCATTTTTTTCCAACCACAGGATTGTAATGATAAAGTCGTTATCCCTGGCCTTTTTTAAAGGAAAAAAGATCATGTTAAAAGTGGTCGCCATGCCGTATAATGATATGGTGAAGATATAAAAATATCGGTATTTAAAGAGCTGTAAAATGGTTATCATACTTTAGTTACTGTTAGTTTTACAAAAGGAATTCAGGATTAGTATTCAAGAGACTTTGCTATCGGCGTAGACTTCATAACTAACGTAAGACTTGGACATAACTTATATTTTTTAGATCCTGATCATAATGTTCTTTATCTATGGAAATGATTGTTCATCGTCCTAAGCACTTGAATTTCCAGCCAACGGGTTTAGCTCCAGAACTTTGCATCATCTGCTGTAGCCTAGGTGACTGTGTGGTTTCATCATCTTAAGACGCACACGGGGAAATTCTATTTCAGATTATGGAGTTCTAAGTGGGAATCCAGTAACCCACTTTTAGCACTAGAACTTCGAAAAATTCAGGGGGTACGTGATTTGTTTATTTTGGTAACCAATTCTCAAAGGCTTAAATCTCACACCACTTACTAAGGTTCAGGCAAATAGTATCACTAGTACCCACACAATAAGTCTGGGTCATTAGCAGCTGCATGAAAATCCAAGTGGTTGTTGAGTAATATTTGTTTTTAAGCATATATGTTTTTTTCTCATAATTATCTCAAGCCAAACTTCCGTAATCTTATGCTTTTATGGATGCAAGATCCAGTGTGTCAAACAGCTGAGTTCTGGTTTTTCATTTGCAACTCTTATAAGTCAAGATTCAACTCTGGCAATCTACCGACTCGTACAGACGTTCTTTTAATAGTGTTTTAGAAGCAAGATTACATGTTGTTTTACTTCATTAAGTTTTTAATATAAAAATACCGGTTATTATACATTCTATTCTTTTCATTCGTTTTCCAGATTGTGTTTTTTCCGGAACGCACTTTTGTAAACTCATCTAGCACCAATGAAGGAGGAATCAGGCGCTTTCCGAGAAAGGTTTGTTCTGCGCAAAATTTTCATTTTATGTTGATCAGAGTTCTCAATTTATTCAAATCATCAAAAGGGGCTCTTACTCAAAAGCATTTTGAAAAGGAATTTTCGGATGTTTCCCTCACCACCATACTACCCATCTTGAATGCTTTGCAAAAGGAAGGCATGCTGGATGTTCTGGTTAACGCAGATCGGACCTTATCATGGCAACTTAGGGATCAAATGTCAGCTGAGTAGGTAAAACCTACATGGATCTTATGTTTTTTCCAGAAAATTGAAAAGTCTCTCAGATTTGGAAGAGCGTTTGGTTTATAATTCCATACGTAATGCCGGTGAAGATGGTATATTCGATTTATTTTTATTTTCACCTCATTTTTATTCTAGCTGCGTCAGTAAAACTAATTAGTTCGGAAACTAAGTTACCTCAGAACCGTATTCCCAGAATATTGAAGTCATTGATTTCTAAAAAAATGATCAAAGAATTGCCAATGGCTGTTGGTCACAAACAGAAAGTGTACCTGCTTATGGAGTTAGAACCTAGTGAAAAGTTAGCAGCAAACACACTGTTCGCTGGAGAATCTGGTGTAGACGCCGAGTTCATTTCTATTTTGAGAACAGCATGTTTAAAGTATCTTCAAGATAAGGTTTTTGTGCAACATCATCTTATCTGAATTTTGTAGGCTATTTCTTCTTCTCATATTGCTGATCCACTAGAGCGTAGACTCGCTTCATATGTATCATGCGAAGAAATTCATCGATTTATAACTAACACAAAGATTTGCACAGTGAGTTTCAATTCACAACATTATTCATAATATAAACTTTCAAAGTGACCTTACTTAATGTTTAGGAAGTTTCAGTTTATACTTAAATAGTTAGATATTTTACGCCAATATTCCGTCACTTAATACTTTTATGTCAAAGGGCCAATATTTCCTCTTCTATAATCACTTTTACCGTCTGCTGTCAGAATATAAAACTAATTTATTGTGATTTGTTGAGTTGACATATATGGTGCCTTTTTGCAAATTTCTATGTTGATTCATCTGTCCTTCACAAGGACTCTAAGTTGAGTTTTTAATAGCGTAGTTTTCTTATATTATGCTTAAACAGACTCTAAATCCCACACCTCAAGAATTAGCATGCTACCAAAAAAGTCATTCGTTTACTTGTATTATTATGCAGAGGGCAGTCCATTACGTGTGAGCTTCTGACAAAATGTAATCTTTCGAATCACCTGAACGAGACTGTTGAGTGTTTCTGTAATATGATGCTACCAGACTGGTCTGCTCTAACTCCTATTTTAAGTTTAAGTCATGAAATACGTTAACTGCTTCCCCTATTTGTGAGGTCGCTTTAATCTAAATGGGGTTCTTTACTGAAGAAGTTTCAGATCGACATTTGCGTCATCTTCGGGATTGTGTTATAGTGTAGTTGACTCTGGACCCCATTCTTTTGAAGTACTAAATCCATCACCATGTTCCTCATGAATATTAGGAATTGAGGGGAGAAAGGTAATAATCATTCGAGTTTTCTACTAAATGTAATACATTTCCATTTGTGTGTTGATTTTTCACTTAATACATTAATAAATGAATATCAATAGCAGCATTCTAGCAGTCATAAGTTTTGCACTGGGACTAAGGGTAATAGTGTGAGATATATATATGAATAGAAACAATCACTACTGGACAGTGATTTTTGTGTTTTAAATGTCTGCATTTGTGTAGGTTATCTAACATTTCACTGATAATTTCTTCAAATTGTATTTCTGAAAATCATCTCCATAGGTTGCTATGAGTGTTCACGATGTTCAGTGCGTATTGGAAGCTTTAAAGTTTGGTGGTGAATTGGAGACACGTCTCAGTTCCGACAATTCTGATCAAAGTACTAGTTCGGGAATACTTTATCGACTTGCTACTCAAACACCTTGTGCTGCAAACTTGGCACATATTCCTTGTACACTATGCCTAGTAAGCTCTCCTATTTTTTTTTTTCCTTCACGTTCCCCAGTGGAACATAGGGCTTCAAGCTAGTGGCTTGAAGTTTCTGTAGCAGTGTTTATTTTTACGGGATGGGGTTGCTAGCCTCATGCCCAACCTTCCCTCTTTACCAGCATTATTTCTGGCTCAGCGAGGTAAAGGAGTGCGTCGGCCGGGGATCGAACCCCGGACCATGTGCATGGTCGGCTCTCCTATTGTTAACACTTATTATATTTAACTATCAAATACAGTCACTAATGAATTACCAAAAAAGACATGAATACTACATTACGTAACTTCGTATAGTAAATGTCTCATGCATTTTTTTTAATGAAAAAATTACCAATTGTGTATCTTTCTAATTTTCCTAGACAGTCATTACTTTTTACCCTCAGTTTCAAAATGATATTAAAAGGATTGGACTAACTTGGTCATTGTTGATTTAATAGTAAAATTATGATAACTGATCCTCATCGAAATCTATTATTAGTGTTCAGTGTGCGTAAAGCAGTAAACATCCGTTCCTTCCTATAATTTAGTCGAATCCACCTCAATTTTTTAAAACTCCATGTTTATTTGCTAGTCTAACATTAAATGCTTCAAGCGTCAAAATTACAGTTAGACTGCGCTCACAAAGTAATTACCGTTTCAAATTGGTATTCAGTGAGAATCCATTTCAATTGCATTTTCCTCACTATCATAACATCTCCATCTAGACATATTAGTGTGAACGAGCCTGTTGGCCGTATAGGAAGGAATCTTACTAAACTCAACGTTTAGTAAGCCGACGGAATTTTCTGATAAGGAAAAATAATTATGATAAATATTTGTCGCTAATTCACCTATGATTTGTTGTGGTATTCATCTCACTTTGAACCAATAGGTTTCTTGCCGATGCGGAAGTTAGGTAGTTTCATGTCAGTTGCAGTGAAATGTGGTCATTATCTCTCATAATTTTGTAGATTTTTCTGTATCACTTCATATAGTTAATTACTAAATGCATACAAGCTTTAGACTAAATAATTTCTACTTTTGGTTTTGTATTGACTCAATAACATAATCATTCACTGACTAGTTGTAAAAACCAATAACTGCAGGTGAATCTTTATAAAAGTAATTAAAGACTGCAGCTGCTGTGTGATTCTAAAAAACTGTTACATCATAAATCTTTTCTGGCATAATAGATTACTATGTGGTCATATAAGTATCAAGTACACCTATTATAAATTTTGTGAGGTGCAGGCCTTATTAATAGGATCGGAATTTCAAAGTTGACATGTTGAAAATAACTCATTTTAGTTTGCCTAATAACATAGTTTACAGATATACTACTTAAGTGCAGTCGATCTCAATAGTATACCACTTCACACGGTGAATTTTGCTAAACCCATTGGGAATTGACTGTTTCACCAGCTTTTGTCTACTGACTGATTGGCCCTAGAGATCATTTATTACATGCATAGCTTATTAGCGAAGATTGTGATTTCGACTCGTGTAGTTTACCCTAACTAAATACAACATCACTTTCTTCAGTGTCGTAAGTGCACCCTGTAGATGCCTACCCATAAAACACAAGGCAAGTCGAACTGGATCCTAGCGTCTGACACCGCATGAGTATTTCACAATGAATAATAACAATAATAATAGTGGTCTAATCAGATAATGGCAAAAAGACATCAGATGGTTAATAGTTTGAAGAATAATTAATTGTCTACCATTTCACTTGGGACTTTGTAACATGGATCTTTGTCATGTTGGCGGCCATAAACATTCAGTTCAAAAATCATTACTCAACTGCCATCTCAGTGGTAGGTGATTCTTTATATCATTTCACAGTTTTTTTTTCACTTCTTTGCTTTAAAAGTGGAACATAAGGTTTGAAGCTTGGGCTTTAAAGTTTTAGTAGTAATGTTGTTATGATATAAATGAAGCAAAAAGTTGTGTGTGAGCGACTTGATATGAATATGAGCAATAATTTGTGCTCGAAATGTCATCAGTTAATATTACTGTACAACACTGTGTGATTTATTAAAATAAAATCTAATATATAATGGAGTTATACTCTACCACAGTGCCCAAGTTTTATACTTATATTAGTCAGTCGCGAGCCCGAATAGCTCAGTGGTAACGTCACTGACTGCAGCACTGGGTGACGCGGGTTCGAATCTCAGAAGGGACCTGAGTTCCTTCAACGTTGCAGATACGCGCTGCTGATTAGTGCCAACTAGCACGAAACCTAGGTCGAAGGTTTCCTGCTGATTGCCTCCAACCATCTAATATCAATATGGTCTGTTTGCATTCATATTTGATTAGTTGTTTTGTGATCATCTGTATCTTATTTCGAACCTTTTTTTTAGTGCCGAAAGGATTGTCGTCCTGATGGACCGATTAACCCTCAATCGTGCAAACTTTTCCAAGCATTTCTTGAGTTTTAATAAGCAAAGGGGGATACCTAGCAACCGTATAATTTTCTATAACATTGTACATTTTCTTTAAGTTTTCTTATTTGAGTCTTTCATGTATGCTGTCATCATTCTAATTTTTTAACATCATCATGCATTTTTGTATGTCGTATTTTTTATCGCGATAATAAATAAACATTGTTGAGAAATTCTGAAAATGTATTTATTTATTTATTGATCTTCAAAACGCATCACCTATAGTCTATTTTAGGCAATTTGTCTAACTACACTGTATGGGTCTTTGAAATTGAAGTGAGTTTTAAGAATTGGTAGAGTATTTTTGTGTCGTTTAATTGAAGTTAAAACATCCCTTCGTCTCAGCGTAGTTATAGTTTTCTAGATTGAATTTCGAACATCATTTCACATAATTAAGTTTGAGCTAGTTTGTATCGCTGATTATTCTTTTTAAAATAAGTGTTCTGAATAATTTCTAAAGGTTTTTAATGAAATTATTTGATAAAATTACAGCATATGTATATGCTTTTCTCAAGACAGTTTTTTTCATTTTCTCCCAACCCTGTGATGTTTGCTGGCAATTTAAGCCAAAGGAGTACTCATAGTCTCTTAAAACAGCTTTTTGATTTCATATAGTAGCTTTAAATATCAGAGTCTAATACTAGATCAGACTTCAATTGCTAAAACTCTGGCGTCTCGAGTTATGGATGTATTCTGAGTCTTATCTGGGAAACATGGTGAATCTTCAAAATTCACTCTACATGTGTCAGATTCTTCGGCTAGTTGTCATGGAATTACTGGTGCAGAGATAGTAATGAGCTCGGGAAGAGGATTTACTACTTGACTGCATCCCGTTTAACAGTCGTCTGTGTGCTGTGCAGTTGAATGGGTCCGTAAGGTAAGGAACTACTATGATAGTCGTGAGTATTTTTTCATAGTCTGTGCTAACGCACCCACCGACTGCATTTTGAATGAAGTAAAGGATGAGTTTTATCAGGAGCTGGTTAGTTTTCCTTTGAGAGCGTAATGCTCAGATGCAGTCATCTTAGTCGGTGATCCGAATGCTCAAGTAGCAAGCTGAGCCAGTCGGAAAAGTATATTAGGGGTATCTATCAGGTCCAATGTTGATAAACTAACGATTCCGCTCATAAACAATTTGTTACTGGTTGGCACTAATTCCAAACTTAAGGAGAGTTCGTCTCGCATGGTGACGACCGACGCTAAAACAATGATAAACACAAATAGATAATGTAGCTATGAGTCTGCTGTAGAAATACTAGTGATTGGTTTTATTATCTTGCCGATGGATTTTCGCAGTTTTATCGGAAATGATGAATACAAGTAGAATAATTCTGACAGTCTCCGAACGTGAAGTGGAGTGGAAGTTACTCAAAAGTAAGCTGACTAGAAGTTTTCGCAATGACAAACCAGAAAGAATTGAAAAATAGCATGAGCGATAAATAATACCTACCTATCACTTATGCACATTGAGATAATAGGCTGTGAAAAGTTTATGGTAAGTGAAATCATCTCTGAGTAAGATGGAACTTTAATAACATCACTTAAGAGATGGTTGAGGCATTGGGTAAAAATATTAACTGTTATAATGCCATACAAGTTCTCCGAAACACCAGTAAAACTACTTTTTTGGATCCTTGTATGGCGCATTCCTAGATACTTACGTTGCACTGACCTCATGTTCAAATGAAGTAAGCATATATTACCCCTGTTTGTGAAAATACAGGTAATTGTGTATTTGGTACGATGATATGTTAATCTGGTATGAACGTATAGTTCCTGAAATGTATTATAACAGTATACTCAAATATTTAAGATGAAATTCGAATGTGTACTATTGAAGTCAACTCTTATAAATTAATGTTAAGTTCCTTCAGATATTTATGACCTTATCGAATAGTATCTTAGGATAAATTATACGTCATCCGACTGATCCAGTCAGTTATCCCGTGTTCAAGCGTAGTGACGGCAAATAATTCCTTCTTGTGAATAGTATGAATTCAAATTGCCTGTTTTCAGTTCTAAAACAAATAGAAGTTACTTATAGAATTAAAGTAAACATTTAGTTTTTGGCAATCAGTTACCCTAATAAAGCTAGATTATATACGCTATTAATGCTTGAAAGACATGTGACATGAATGTGAACAGACCATCGAAACTGCAAATGTTCAATTCAGACCTACTCAGTCTTAATCATTGTGATAGACGTCGTTAAATTTACCAACTATTCTATCATTGCTTTTATTCAGAATCTGGAAATCCGATTGATTTTGAGGTTGACTTCGTGAATGACCGATATCATATGGGAAATCATCAAAAAGTGGGGAGCACGAGGAGAGCTATTCCATCCTAGTTTGTCTACTTAAAAGCCACCAAGTGTCAAATCCAGAACCTTGAGGATAAAGTATAATCACGATTAGTATTCACCCACTGGTTTGGAATACTTTAGATTAAGAAGTGGATTATACACCCACAAAAAAATCAATTGATCATATTGATGAGTAGTGTGTTGAAGCAAGCTATTTCATGATGGGCAGAACTTTATTTGACTAAAAAAAAACAATGAAGTATAGGTTAATTATTTAACAATAACACGCATTCATGGATAATTGATAGTTAGCCGAATTTCTCTTTTTTATTATTTAATTATTCCCGTCAATTGTTGAATAACGAGCTTCAAGATTCTGTATTACACGAAGCTTTCTTAAATTGGGTAGAATGATATAGCTTACAGCACCCCAGCATAAAAATATCCAGCATATAATTAACATAATCGATATAATTGCACCTGTAGAAAAACTAATTGCAAGTGAATTTTGACGAATAGCGAAATAAGATCCTAAAAATGTTCCTTCACCACCTAAAGAATATAGGAAGTAATTAAATTACAGTGAGTGTGAAAAAAATTACAATAAAAAGTATTTACTAATTTTCAATGTGTACTACATGCACAGTACATTTCTTTATGCCAGGGACATCTTAATATGAATCTATGCAAACATGGAGTTATTTTTTTTTTCCTTCACGTTCCCCGGTGGAACATAGGGCTTCAAGCTTGTGGCTTGAAGTTTCTGTAGCAGTGTTTATTTTACAGGATGGGGTTGCTAGCCTCATTCCCAACCTTTCCTCTTTACCAGCTTTATTTCTGGCTTAGCGAGGTAATGGAGTGCGTTGGCCGGGGATCGAACTCCGGACCATATGCATGACTGGCGATCATTCTACCGCCGTGCCACTGACGCACAATTAAAAGTTGCTTCGTCAAAATGTGTAAAAGTTCTTTACATTAATAATTTACGATCTAATGTATGTAAGGAATCGTTCACTGACTGAGACTTTAAGTCAGAAGCTAAAATCTCTTAACAGCATAACTCTAAGTAGAACTTTGGGATCTAAGTATTTGTATGCATTTTGTGTCTCAGAGATATGCAAATTACACCCTGACTTTGTTATTTACTTAACCTCATCTCGCCAACATGTCAGATCTACAACCACACGATGAACATAAAAGGACGTATGTGCTATACAACAGTCCTCTTTGTCATTCAGTATGGCCGATTTAAGTAAGAGATACGAGGAAGATAGCCATCTTTGCTAATAGGCCTTCCATCTTTCGTGTGTGTTTTGAAGTTAGACGTAGAGTATGGGGAAGGAATGCAAAAAACGAAATACTATTGATTGATTTAGGTAGGTGTTTGTATATCACTCACACCAACCAGTAGTACTTATTAGCCAGATCGAGGGGATCTAAACACTAGACAGCTGTTTCACTCACTTGGGGCAAAGCTCGTCAGCGGTTTACCCGATTCAACTAATCTCAGACAGATAAATCAGTTTAAACCACCTGATATCTGGCTAGCTACTTGGGCGAACTGATAACATCATAAATCTCAGCTGAGCCGAACTGGGCACACCACTCACGAGCTCAACCCCAAACGATCGAAATGGCCGTCCAGTGTTTAGGTGACTTTGATCAGGCTAGCAAGTACTACTGGTTGATGTAGGCGATATACAACTACCTATCTAAATCAGTCAATCGTATATTGTTTAATGCATTTATGCTTGATTTCTTGATTGTCATTTTCCGTATGAAGGTGATCCCATGTTGTGATCTTAATAATTTTGGTTTCAAAATGAAACTATGCTGAAATCTCACATCAAAACAGTGTAAATTGCAAATCAGATTTTGATTTGTAGCGAAGGAAGCAAAGTTAATGGATGAAATTGTGTGGTTACATTGAATGAGACAGCTATGACATTAATCACGCGCGTTGAGTTTTTTCCTTACTTGATGAACAGTGTTCACTGACATACTATTGGATTAGAAAAAATTACAAGTGATCAAATGACAAAAAGGTATCAGTACATTAAGACTTTCACTATCTATTTGAATCACGTAAGGAGCTGTAGACTGCCTGGTTGGAGTCTTTGATTTGCTAACAATCGATAACTGGAAATTGCTGTTGCTATGGTTCAAAATCTATGTTAACGGCGCAGATGCATTCACTCTTTGTAACCTCCTAGAATTATTAAATCCACCTTCTTATCCACATATTTACTCTTGCTCCCGTAAATTTCAATTTATTATAATCTTCTTGGATTTCGCTTTTATTTTTTATTTTCCTTTATTTAGCCTTTATAAAGTGTGGCTAGTTCAGCTGTTGCATTATTTTGGATAATTTTACATTGAAAATCCAGTTCGAAATGCTTCTAGGTTATTTAAATACATTACGAGATTTATGCAAAAATCCTAATCCATATATTGTCATGCATGTTATATTAAATTATAAGGTGATATTCTGACATCTAGTTTTAAGGAATACGTTTCAAGTTGTATTTCATGAGTTCCTCTTTTTTATCTACTACGTACTGTGTTATGAAACTGAGCAAAGTTAAAGCATCACGTCCTATGAGATCCTTGAGCCGACCAATCATAAAAATAATTCCTTTTTACTCAAAAAATTGCGTTCATTTACAAGAAAATGCATGAAAACACATTAAACAGGTTATCTTTCACTGACATGACTTAAAAATACGTTCCAGTTATAATGAGGAGTATCAATTCTTAAGTTAGACTAGTTTCAGTACACGTATTCACCGAGATGAGCTTCTTTTGTGACCTGTTTATCGCTTTTATCTTGTTTTGCAGTCTTCTCCAAAAACCCTTGATTGAATTACAATGGTTTCCATTAAAAGATCGACGACTACTTACGAGGAAAATGTGGATAATAAAATAAATAATACCAACCCCAAACCTAACCCTAACTTTGACCCTAATCCTAACTCTAAGGAGCTATCAACACATTGTCCAAACAGTACTTAAAAGCGTGATCGTGATAAAAATTGCTCTTTAGTTGGTGAACAGCGTTCATATTAGCGCTAATGAAGGGTATCACTATCCAGTGACTTGCATACGTTCAATGTCATTAGCGAGTTTGCACACCTAGGACGTGATACTTTAACTTCTGAACATGAACTTCATTTCTGCTAATCCTCATTTTTCTGATACCTGATGTCTAACTTTTTCATAAGAGTTAATGAATATTTAAAAGTCAAGATTTACATTAGATAGAAAAAAAAGAGTAACTTACGAGAACACTCATGCTCAGGACATTTAGTATATTCAATTGGTGATCCTAAACATTGACCTGGTTTCTTTTTCCATGCAGCTGAAAGGCATTCACGGGAACGAACACTGTAACGAACATCTCCACATGCAGGACGACATTTATCCCAAGCAGACCATTCACTCCATTCACCTACCCATATATTACATGCTTTTCCAGAATAACCTTGATCACATATACAATATGCCTTAAAATGGATAAAAGTTAACCAAATACTGTGTTAAAAGATTCATAACTTTCAAATAAAAATTCTTAAAAGGATATATGCAATAAATATCTAATATAATTCAATGAAAGTTTCTAAAATATTCCACCAGAAATATCGATACGTTTGCTCTGGTGATACATTCAAGCTACAATTTTCATGGAGTTGATTATTTAAAGTTGTATTACATAATTTGAAGCATAATAAGACTAGAAGCATCTATCATGTTGGGAAAAATCTGTATTGCGATTTGGCTATGAGGAGAAGTTTATTGAGCAGCCCGAATAGCTCAGTGGTAACGTCTCTGAATGCAGCACTAAGTGACGCGGGTTCAAATTTCAATGCGTCGGTGGCTCTGTGGTAAAACACGTCCTAGTTGTAACGAGCAGTATCAGTTGCTGAGTCAGACTAGTTTCTGTACATGTTTTCACCGAGATGACTACAGATAACCTGTTTTTGTTAATCGTTTATCTCTCTCATCCTGCTTACAGTCTTCCAAAAAAGCCCTTGGTTGAATTCTTATGGTTTCCAGCAAGAGGATAGACGACTACTTACCAGGAAAACGTGGATAATAAAAAAAATTAAAATAAATGACATCAACTATAAATCTATCCCTAATCGTAACCATAAGCTTGATCCTGACCCAAACACTAAACCTAACCTTAATCCTAACCCTAATCATAACCCTTATTCAAACCGTAATTCTAACCCTAATGCTAATTATAACCCTGATCCTAACCCTAACGAGCTATTAACACATTGTCCAAACAGTACTTAAAAACGTGATCTGGGTGAAATTTGCTCCTAAGTTGGTGAATAGCATTGATATTTCAGCTATGATAATGACAGATGCCGTTAGCCAACGACTAGCATGCGTTCAAGGTCACTGGAGCGTTAACACTCGTGGGATGCTATTGTTGAACTTCACCCAATCAAAAATATCCAATACAGTCCTACAGGAGGTCAATCGCCTGCCTGAATGGCTGATTGGTAATGTCTCTGACTGCAGCACTGTGTGACGCAGGTTCGAATCTCAGAAGGGACATGAGTTCCTTCAAAGTTGCAGATACGTCTTGCTGACTGGTGAGTGCCAACTAGCATGAAGCCTAGGTTGAGGGGCTTCCTGCTGATTGCCTCCAACCATCTAATACTATTGTGTTCTGCTGTCACAAGAGTATCAGTATATCATCAAAACTTATGCTGGGATAATCAACACCGAAGACATTGTCAAAAACAAACAAACAAACAAACAAATAAAAACACAAACGTGGAAACATGATAACTTACTTCATTTTCAGCATAACTTGCATAACAATATCCATGTAAGCATATAATATTATCACATATTGACTGTTTTTTCATACAATTTGGATAGGATAATTTAAAATCAGGTAACCAATAGTTATTATCACATTGACATTTATAAAATGCATAACCTTCAGAGCTAATATATGAGAAACATTTATTTTTATTAGGAGTATTTATATTACAAGCAATATTTCCTGGTAATAATGTTCCACCATTCGGTTGAAATGGATGATCTACACGATATTTACATGCATCGATTAATTTTTCACATTTACTACCATGATATTGTGGTTTACATGCACATAATGTTACCTTTACATTCACAATAAAGGTGAATATTTAAAAAAAAAGAAGAAGAAAGTATAATTAAAATCTTAAAAGTGTATTACTCAATAAATTTGAATATTTTTTGTTAAACCATGATTAAAATAGTATTCAACAATCATACAATAAGAAATCATTACGACATATGTTACTGACAGAAATTTATAAGTAATATATATTGCATGTTATATCTTCTGTAAGAATCGTGATTATAGGAGTGATGGATCAAGTTGAGAAGAAAAAAGAAAAGATCCTTATAAAACAAGTTGCCTCTATCAGTTTGAATAGTATCACATTTCTCCTCCTGCACAGTCAAGAATATCCGCTAAAAAGAACAGGCCGGCATTAAAAAACTTGCTAAACAGTGATAAGATCGTTATTCTTAAACTAATAAAAGATTGTGGAGTCGTAATAATGAACCGGTAGGACTACATCTTCAAAGTGACAACTCTTCTCAATGATACTATGAGATTCCAAGTGGATAGGTCCAAAAAAACGATGGAACAAAAGCCTTCGAAAACAGAGTAAACACGTATCTCAAAGAACACCTGTAATGACCTTAAAACAAGAAGTTCATGTATGGTCAACCCAAAGTTCATAAATCTGATGTGCAATTGAAGCCTATAATGTCAGTAGGTGAAATCACCACGTCATAAACCGGCTAGGTAGTTGGCATGTTATGATAGAGGAGAAGAGCCAGGCAACAGATCCTTTATTTAGAAAATCAACAGATATTAATAGATTTTTATGAATATTATTATAGGTTATTGTTAGCAGAGAAACAGAGTCTTCTTATAGGTTGTTTCCTCCCTGAAAGTTAGTCTGTCATCTCTTTGTAACCGTTTCCTTGAAGGTCACACCATATATCTGCGAATCGTATCCGCCCACGCAAAGTCTTTGTTCTTGTTTTTCTCATGACCAAGACTTGGGACGCAAACATTGACGTAAACTGCTGTCTACCAATTTTGGCTAGCAGACAGCTCTCACCACAGGCACAAGAGTTGGAACCAATTCGAAAGAAGTTGGTAGATCATAGTATCAAGGATTTTTTCCAATTTTCACAAGAGTTGGATCAACTGAATATCTCAGACAAACTCCTTGTGTCAAATTATGTTTTGTCACTGTTTACTATCATAACAAACTGCAAATTTGTTTGTTCTTTCTTTGTTCCTTTGACAAAATATCGGAAACGTGAAATTAAGACAAAACGAGCAGAAAACGATTAACTTTTAGAAATGGAAATTTCTGTTTAGAGTGTGTACTTGGCAATCATTGTGATAATAATTATAATACACTACACAGACATCTGTTTCAGTATGGACCGAATCTTCTATATCATAGTTAGTGGCACCAGTTACATTATCATTTGAATCAATAAAATTGTATACAAATTTGTTAGTGTTGCTTAGACACCAATATTTACATGTGAAACCCATTCCTATGCCTCATATTTCACTTCAGACATTATCCAATTGCATATTTTCCTGTTGAAATTCTGTGATTATTTGATACGAATTAATCATATATTTAGCTAATACGGAGAGACGGTTTGTAAAGCAACCTAAGAGAGTTTTGCACTGTTAGGCTAAAGTGGATGATGACAGGACGTGAAACAAAGTCTCCAAATACGGTAGGATTCCGATTGTAGGCCTATGGATTAATATCCTAGATATCAAACAACTGATCAACGAGACCCAGATGTTAACCGGATCACTTTACTGCTGTCTTATAGAACTGTGACATGTAGCTGTCTCTTTAATACTATCACAGTAGCTATACAAGCAGATTTTTCGATCTTATTTCTCATTATTACACCAATATTGGCCCACTAATCAAAGGATAAACTATACTATTATTGTTCTTCCCTTGGGTTCTTAGTGGAACAAAGGGCTTCAGCAACACATCATCTTTTTGTTCCCTGCAGTTTTTTTTAGCCGGCTTCACGGCTGTCCATAAGCTTTCATTTCCTCCTAATATGATCTACTCCACGTTACACTTGGACGCCCAACCCATCGTCTCTCATTCGGGTTCTAATTGGAGGCCTGGCGCGTGATGTCACTCAACGGCCCTCACATACACATAGTCTCACCAAAAATTGACAGTATGTCACTCTTCTCAAATTTAGTATGATTAGAATCGAGACTGACAGTTACCTGTAGCTCATACATGGCATAGTTGGTTCGATTTCATGATAATTGTATTAAATTAATATACATAAGTCAGTTTGGAATTTAAAGAGGTTATTGGAAAGAATATTCTGTAAGGCCTGTTTAATTGTCAAATGTTCATCCAGCCATAGGTTATATCTAACTCTTTGTGTTTAGTCTTATTGGTGATTGCCAACTTGGAGGCATCCGAATAATAAGAATCGATACTATGAGATTTGGTATAGTAGTTCAAAGTCAACCAGATGGACTAAACTAATTCACTTTTAGTCACCTTCATATTTTTGAAAGTCACCGTCACTCATTGATCAAAGTATCCAATAGAGTCTCACAGGAGGTTAACCGCGAGTTTATAAGTTCACTGATAACGTCTCTGATTGCAGCACTGGGTGATATGGGTTCGAATCTCCCTTCAACGTTGCAGACACACCTTGCTGACTGGTGATTACCAAAAAGCACGAAACCTAAGCCCGAGGATTCCCGCTGATTTCCTCCAACCATCTGATGCCAACAATTCTGAGTGCACCGTGATGGCGAGCCACCTAGCATGGTGGGCACATTGGAAACTTGACTGATATAATTCAGTCTGCACCAAAGAAAGGACTAGACACATCACACTAGTTACTGGTATCAAATTAAAGTATCCAATACAGACCTACAAGAGGTCAGCCGCGAGTCAGAATAGCAATGTTATCAACTGTGAGACAATAGCATAAACAGAAATCAAAACAATACTCCAAGTCAATGTGCTGCGATAGAACATGGAGAAACAGTATAGAAAAGTGATAAGAGAGATGAAGCAAAATATAAGTTATGAAGAGGCAAGTCAATGGAGAGCAAAACATTGTTTAAGGTATGAGAAAGGAAAGCAAATAAAATCATCTGTGAGATTATGTCTGACTATCATTTAAGCAATTTAGAGATTTTATAATCTGCATTTCATCACTAATGGAACATTCAAAATGATTTCAATACGGGAACAAGCTCTGGTATAACTGAAATAATATTGGAATTGAGTTCGTTCTACAGATAATTAAACTCACAACAGTATACAACTGATGCCTTGATTCCTCTTGGCACACCAAGCTGACACAGATTAAAAGCTGAGAAGGCAAAGATTTTTCTGCTGAGTAAACTGAAACATAACCAATAAATTACAATTTTAAGATATGAAAATTACTTTCTGACTGGACAGCATGCACTGATGAAAATCCTATGCCTTGACCTTTAGGTTAGTTCATGGTTGAATGCTTCGTTTACAGATCACTTGGGAAACACTGACCAGTAATATACCTCTCTCCTCCCGTTACAGCAAACACCCTATGACCAGTAGCCCCATGAATGAATCTAAAGCGTTAAAATGCTGTGTATTGGGTTCAAGACTCAATGAGAGTACCACTTTCTAGGATTCATATGCACTCAGTTGACTAGTCCAAAACCAACTGAAATGCATTTTCAAAATTCCACAGTTAGCTGCAGTAGAAACATACCATACCTAGAATATTTTCCTTTCAGTATATAGGTAGGTAAATAATTTTAAATGAATAGTATCATAGAAAAATAAAGCTGTTAACCACATACTCGATGCTCCCGATCATATACACATGACAATGTTCCTTCTTTATTACATTCATGTACATCAGGACAGTTTTTTGGCGTCGTTTCCAGTCGTTTGGTCAATTCACCATATCTAACAAGCTGTAATAAATAGAATTAATAATGATGAGAAATAAATTTACAATCTAATTATTTCTTATATGATAAGCCGATGACTAAAATTTAAACAAAATATTCATCAAATCATAATTCGAGTTGACATATCACCAGTGGTTAACAATCTTGTTATACTCATAGTGCGGCGTGTGCTACTGATAAGATTTATCAGTAGTATATATATATAAAGAGATGTTCATTGACGTAAAACCTTAAATAGCATGGAGATAGGTTTGATGTCAGAGAAAGCAAATGATACAGCGTTGCAGAGATACATGGGAGACATGGAAGGAACACATAGAAACACAATATGATGGCCAGAAGTAGCACAACACGGAAGATCTGAGCAAATGGTGATTTGAAGATAAGGTGAACATAATTCTGCTATATAGAGATACTAAATTGCATATAGTAATTCGGTGGGACAGAGCTTGGGTATTCGCTTACTATGTAGGTGGTTCGGGGTTCGATCTCCGGCCTGCGCACTCCTTCACCTTAATAAGTTAGTGACAAAACTGGTAAATCGGGAAGGTTGGGCATTAGGCTGGCAGCTCCATCCCGTAAAAATAAACACCACTGCTACCGCAACTTCAGAGCTCTAGCTTGAACCCCTATGTTCCACTGCGAACGTAAGGGAAAAATTAAATAAAATTGCAAAGAAACATGCCTCTGTCAAGTCTTTCATCTTCTACTGTCACAGTAGTTTTATTTTATCGTTAATAATTTCAACTGATTAAAAATGCCCATCAAAAGTTCTTCAAAAGAATGGTTACTGAATGCAGCTTAGTGTTATACTTCAGACGCTCATTGAGAACCTGCCCTAGATATTAAGAATAGTCTGTCTAACTAAAGATATATTATCTTGTGAACAAATATATTTTTCTTATACAGTGAGGATAGATGACAAAATGAAATTTTGAGTTGTGAAAGTATTCGAACTGGTGGCCTCTGAATTACTTCTCCAGAACTATACCAGATGACCTACTATTCATATCACCACAAGCGTCCTGCTGATAAATGATATGTTTCTATCTGTTCACTATCACACTAGTTACCCAGCTGAGGTTTTTCTTTTCAATTATAAACCGGAGGTGGAGCAGAAGGTTGCTGATTGACAATGAGATTAACTGAGATAGCTTTAGATTAGTATATCATTACTAGTTAAGCTTCCGTTACAACTAAAGTTTAATTCCATCTTTATTGATTACTCTATAAATAAATAACTTTTCGTTAAAAGTTTAACTTTGTAAGAAGATTTCAGAATAGATTGGATCACAAACTGACATGAGTTAGAGGATGACTGAAAATCAGGGAGCACTGGAAAGCTCAAAGTGACAGCAGTTACAATTCATAAGCAGCTTAGTTTTAACCTGGTGCCGGAATGGTCATCGGACTGCCGTCGTAACCGACAGGTTCGGGGTTTGATCTTCGATGGCATCATTGATGCCTAATCCAGTGCTTTCTGGCTCTCAGTTTTCTAATTGATGCCTTTAGACCAACTGAACGCTGACAATATAAAACTTGAAAAATAATAGAAATATTGGAGATTAATTCTAGTATCTGATCGTTAGATCAAATGATCATAATTGTTTTGTTCTTACTGTTTAGTCACTTAATTGGATATCGGAAAAACTGACATTAAAGTCGAAAACAGTTATTCAGATAAAGTGAACACTTTAAAAATTTCTATATCAGGTTGAGATTTCAAGTTGAGGCAAACAGACAGACATCAAAAATGAATAATAATGAATCAAGTATTGGTTTGCAGGAATTTGATTTGATTGCTTACAGGATTTCATCATGAGTTGACATCGGTTATAGAACTACTGGAAAACCTGGGAGTACAGCACAGCCGTTTCCTTCTTTTTTTTGGAACTCTTCATCGGTACTCACCCACCACTAGGGTTCAGACACAGAACCTTCTGACTACAAGGCTAGCTCGTAGACCATTAATCTACTAGGACCTGATCCTATGGTCAGCCCATGAATTCCAACTTTTGGCAGTTCATGATATAACACGACCACTAGCCAGTGTCATCGGAGAGTATCTGTCTGTACAACTGACCTTGTATACGCCACTGGGTACGACTTCTCACTAGAAAACAGTTAACTACCTACCTGAATACGGCCAGATACTAGTGAGCATCAGAATGTTCTAGGTTCGAACCCAGGTGGGAGCATACTGATGAAGAGTTCCAAACTTGGACGAAATGGCCGTACAGTGCTCCCAGGTTTCTCAGTGGTCCCAAAACCGATGTCAGCTCATGATGAAATCCCATAAATTTGTAGTTGATTTTCCAGTTAGTAAGCGACAGACCTTAATTAGTTCAACCACTAAACTAATCTGTCAGCAGAAAAGAATGTTTGTCATTTCTACCGCTAATCATCATTAATGTATAAGCCAGTGAGCAGGGTAACCTTATCGAATAATTGTATGATTCACGTTGCTAATGAGGACTACTTATTTCTTTACTGACCTAGGTTATTTTTATGTTTGATGGCCGAATAGGTGCCAGAGTTTATGATTCTTTATATTTCTATATTTTTACAAATCCAGTGAAGTGTTTCGTTAACATGGTTGACATTTCATTTCACCCATTAACTTAGTTCCACTACTTTTAGTTTCATTTACGAAACAACTACAGGTCATCAAATAATTCGGTTAACTTTAAAACAAAGTCATTTCGTTATTTTTATTTCTAATATACTATCAATGAGTCAGTCATTTAAAAAATTATAAAAACAACCAGATGCTATATTGTGTAAGACATATCAGTGACCATATAACAATACACTATATGAAAATAAATTCTCAATATTAAGTTCCTAGAATTTTTCTATATGTATTGTGATCAAGATTTGATCGGATAGTTCCAAAATATATGGGCTCTGACTGAAAAGTAGACATAGGTAAAAAGTATATTTGTAAAATCTCAGAGAACCTGAAATAAGTAGTTCTAACATTTCGTTTGACAAACTGGTCTGAACCTCTTCAGGGAAATTAATCAAAACTAAAATTACAAACATATATATATATATTTAAAATCCTTGTTCATGAATAGACATCAAAGTATAATAAACGAAATTGCATGAACTGTGATCACAATTTGACCAGACTTACTATTATAAGTCTACTTTTGTTAAACGCTGTAAACAGTGTATACATTTGAAGTGGAATCCAGAATGCGCATTTCGACTCGTCAGCTAACCGGATGTACCTGCATTCCCCAGTCACTGAATGATGATGTTCACACGGAGGCTCGAACCTAGTGTCCATAGTTTCAAACGCCAAAGCGTTATCCACTAGACCACTTGGGCCACGAGAGACACCTCTTGTGCGACGGATTATATTAATTATTTAATTGAATTTTAGATTTTCCCGTCGACTGATTAGACCGAAATGCTTAGTCTCAGGTTGACATGTCGGTTTCTTGTGCAGATGCTTTGACGATGTCTGAGCATTTAATTAGAAGTCAATTAACGGATGGTGACTAGCAGTGGAATCCATTTGTATCAGATTTTTAGTGACTACTTTCGACTAAAGTTCGTGGTCATAGATAACTGAGTATGAAAAGTATTTGTATATGCGGCATACAGTGATGTGTGTTTATGTTTGAGGATACAATTGTAAGTCATATGTTAGTCTTTCCATAAGAAGATACAGGCAATCAGAAGTTTCGATGAAGTATAATAAATTACTGACAACGAACTTAGTTTTCGATATCCCTTAAATCTAAATGAGATTATGAAGGGTTTGGAACTGTGTCTACGCTCCATGTTATTTACATTTTCAGGGGTTCTTTGCTGTCAAACAAAAGCCATTATTATGCAATCACCAGTGTTGCCGTTAATAGCTAATATGTTTATGCACATATTAGAAACAAGTGCAATTAGGAGACACCCTGATCCTCCAAGAATGTGGTTAAGATATGTGGATGATACCTTTATCATAATCAAACTCAGTATGTTGAATGAACTTTTTCATTTAATAAACGATGTGACGGAAACCACTAAGTTTTCAGAAGAGGTTGTGCGTCGGTGGCACGGTGGTTAGGACTCTCACCGACCGTGCACATGGTCCGGGATTCGATCCCCTGCCGACGCACACCCGATATCTATGGTCGACCTGCAAAATTTGGGCTACCGATATCACATGCTGAAAATTCCATACTTGTACTGAAAATACGGTATGGAATCAAGCGGTAATTAAAAAATCAAAAAAAAAATCCTACTCAAACGATTTGCTTTTCCTGGACTGTTTGATAAAAAGACAACCAGATGGTCAACTTAAGATAAATATCTTCAGAAAGCCTGCCTATTTGTACAGATACCTCGATTACAATTCAGCACATCCCTTTACCACCAAAGTAACTGTATCTAAGAAACTAGTTAACAGAGTCAGACGTCTGGTTACTTAGGTAGACGAAACCAACGGGGGATTTAAATGGGTTCAGTTAACTCTTGAATCAAATAATTATCCAAAAACCTTTATTAAAAGATATGGAATAAGGGAAGATAAGGATGCTGTTAAGACTTGGGTCAGTACTATGGTGATTCCTTATCATCATTATTAGTGAAGGTTAAAGATAAGTGCGTTGGTGGCATAGCGGTTAGGACGCTCGCCGACCATTCACATGGTCCGGGGTTCGATTCCCGGTCGGCGCACTCCTTTACCTCGCTGAGCCAGTACTAAATTTAGTGCCGAGGGAAGGTTGGGCATGAGGCTAGCAACCCCATCCTGTAAAATTAAACACAGAAACTTCAAGCCTCTAGCCTGAAGCCCTATGTTCCACTGGGGAAGGTGAAGAAATAAAAAAAGATAAAAAAGAAGACAACCAATCTCTTAAAATACTTACGAAGAATGTGCATGTATAACATACATCAATCTTCATTTCTTTCAATCGGCGTTGACAACAACAAGTACAACGACGACAACAACAGTAGCTTACCTTATCTCTCTTCTTGATATCATTATATTCATCGTCTGATAAACACGTTGAATATTCACTTTTCCATGTCTTACCTTCAGGGCATACACATGAATAAGACGATGAAAATATACCATCTGGTTTACATTCCTCTTTTGTGTTACATAAATTATCTGCAACGCATGGATTATAATGCATTTTCACTGAATATGGATCACTTAAACTTTGTATACTAATTGTAGCCAATATACAAATAGCATATAAAAATTGTGTATAAAATGGTTTACTATGTTTAACTTTATCAATACTGTTTAAATTCATTAATATTTTTTCATCTTTTTTTGTTATATTTTCGTTAGATAATTTTTTAATCTGTTCAATTAATAAACCACGTACTGTTTTTGTACATGAATCACCAAATTCTTCATGACTGTGTAGACATTGATTTTCAAAGATTTTTATGACTGAATTTTTTGTTTCATTACTTGTTAACTTTTGATAGGAATTCCAAACTTTTGGTTCAATAGGAATATGTGTACCAAGATCATGTAATGTAAATCCATGAGTTAACATTTCATCTGTACAGAATATATTTGAACTCATGTCATGAAGTGAGAAAATCATTTGAGTAAAGTTTAAAGATATAAGGAATAGGATTAAAGTTAGCATTTATTTATTATTCCTTTGAATAATATTGTATATATGCTTTTATATACTTATTACCTTCGTTTTGCACGTCGTTAGTAAGGGAATGACGAATAAAACTCATCTATTTTTAAATGACAGTCCTTGATCGATTCGAAAATCAATACGATGTATTCTGACTTATATATATATTCTTAGCAAAGCAGGAATTAGGGTGGCTTTTAAACCTATAAACGCACTCAGAAACAAGCTCTGTAGGTTAAAGGACCCGGTGGACTCAATTAAAAAAATAATATAATTTACAAAATACCTTACAATAACTGTGAGTTAAGTCAACCACATAGGTCAAACTAATAGATCAGGAGTAGTTAGATTATCAGAACATAAGAATCTAGCTAGGGTTGGAATGATTGATCCAATGAAGATGAGTAATTCAGAAAAAATCTCAGCAATTGTACTGCATGCATTAACACACAACAACACAATAGGATGGGACAGAGTTAAAATTCTTAAAGGTAATATAGGTAGATGGAGAAAGAGATTGATTACTGAATCCTGGTTCATTGCGTCTACATCCAACACATGCAACAGAAATGACTCAACGCAAATACCAGAGACATGAAAGATATTATTGCTTGTCAAATCAGAGAATAATAAATAATGTTAAAATGTATTCAATTCACAATATAACATGCTAAAAAGTTATTCATTTTACTATGAAAACACCTTATTTCCGATCTTTATCGTATTTTATTGGTAACACTACCATTATTTCCGAATGTACTTAATCTTATATTGATTTTATTCCAATGTCTAATCAATTTTTACTCATGTATATATAAGAAGTAAGAAAGTTATGTGAGTACCTTGATATGATTATGAGCAATGAATTGTGCTCGAAACATCATCAGTAAATATTACTGTGGAACGTTGTGGGATTTTATCAAAATAAAGTTTTATGTATACATTTTATACATTAACACAGTGCCCAAGTTGTATCCTTATGTCTATTTATCCACATCTTGATGAATTATAACGCGAAATGGCTTCAGACATTATTGAGTACAGTATGTTGCAAAAATCAACAAATACTGTTAATGAGCGATAAATAAAGGCAAATGAAATTCTGGGTTGCGAAAAGATTTTAACAGATAGCCCCTGAATTAGCAGTCAGGCGCTTTTCGAGATATGAGGTATACTTCACTAACGTTATCGTTCCACTGCAATCACTGCGGTTAGCACCTAGGTATTGTGTGATTCAGTGATGCATTACTGTCTGCCAGGAGTTTGTTAACCCAAGACTATCTCATATAATCTCCATATGAAAATTATGCATTAAATGTTAAGAAACTGTTTTTTTGAAACTTCTCACAGGTATGAGAAGGTGAGGATGAAGATATTTTTCATGAGGCAGAATTCAGCTAAGATTGAAATTTAGGAATTTTGATTTAAAACTTCTGTCAAACAGTAAATCGTAATGCTAAGCGATTTTATGTATATTTGATGATTGCATGCAATTGGCAGGAAGGAGTATTGGAATTAGGTTTCGCGCTTGTTGGCACTCACCAGTCAGCAAGGCATATCTGTAATCTTGACGGAACTCATATCCCTTCTGAGATTCGAATCTGTATCACCCAGTGCAGCAGTTAGCGACGATACTACTGAGCTATACGGGCTCGAGATTGACTTCCTATGGGAATTCATTGGATACTTTTCTTGGACACTAGATAGTGACTAATGTAATGCTTCAGGTTGTTTGTTTGGCGCAGACTGACGGATTTTCAAGTGATGGTTTGCATGAATTCGAATAGTTTCTAATTTGACCAAGGATTGACCTCCATTTTAAGAACTATTGAAAACCAGGTGATACTAAGTAACTTTTTCGTTCCATTCAGGAACTCTTTATCAGTAGGCCTTCATGACTCTACCGAAGGTTCAGCCCAGTAATTTCAGATTACGAAGCCAGCTCGTAACCGTGGTTGAAACAGTAAACAACCGTATCACTTTAATCATGTTTGGAAAAGAGTATAGAATAAATCAAGTGAAACCTATATTCCAGGTACTGCTTATTATTTGTAATTCTAATTTTACTCCATATCTGTAATTTAAAGACAAATTGTTTTACTGATAAAGAGACTTCCGTGAAAAGATTACTTTCTGTTTCCTAAAATATGTACACACTATACTAAGGTTGTTATTATTTGGTGAAGAAGGAAAACAGATAATTCCAGCATGAAGAATTGCTTCATTCTAACAAATTGTAGATTAATCAAATTAGTATTTATAATAAAAATTTAGGTTTATAACTTTATTAATTAAATACGTAACCATTCGTTAATTCACTTTAGATTTTCCCGTCGACTGATTTGACCAAAGTGCTCGGTCTCAGGTTGACATGTCGATTCCTTGTACGGATGCTTCGACGATGTGTGGTCATGTAACTAGAATTCACTTGGTAGATGTTGACTAGCAGTGGAATCCAGGATGCGCGTTTCGTCCTATTTGGGACTCGTCAGGTGAATATGGCCCTGGATGACCCAAGTGGTCTAGTGGATAACGCTTTGGAGTTTGAGCACTGGATTAGAGCCTTGTTGGGGACACTATCACTCAATCAGGAATGCAGGTAAATAGAGATGACGAGCCCCAAAGAGATCGAAATGCGCATCCTGAATTCCACTTCTAGTCACCATCAACCAACTGACGTAACCATTCTGTTTAGCAGTAGACTATTACATATACAATGATCAAGACAATGTAAAACATGGTTTCCATATGAATTCATTTATTATTGTAAATTAGTTCCATAAGACTGGAAAGTCTACTTTGCATGACGGTATATACTACTAATTCACATGACTAGTCGGACACCACTTACATCAACCAGTAGCGCCTACCAACCAGATGGTAGTGATCTAAGCACCGGATAGCCGTTTCACTCGTTCGATTTCGTCAGTGTTGGGCATGAATTGATTTCTGTGAAACAGTCATATCTGTTCAGTTCGCTCGAATTTTGTCTACCTATATTAACCGACTGATAATAGAGCAGCTGTTTTATTTTTAAATGGAAAATTTCACTTGGAAGGTTTTTTGTATTATAAATAAGAAATGTGTTACTTGTAATTAATAAAAAATGTAAAACTTTATTTGATTCTAATATCATAGCCTGAATTGTTACTGAAGGGTATGTTAGCTGAAATATTGTCTAAATTGATATATCAAGACATTGTTCATGAGTATAAGCGACTACCATTCGTTGATTTGAGACTTCGAAGGAATTTCAACAGTTACTGCTTTAATTCTTCGAGGACTTTAAATTAAGCATTTCCCGAGAACAGAAGTGAGACATTGGAAAATATATGTCAGTAGGATGAGAGCCTTTTTCATTACAAAAGATTCTTTCTTTCAAAGTTTAATAAATACTGTAGGTTTTCCGTTTAGTTTTTTCTTCTCCTTCCCATGAATTATATGCCGTGGCTTACTTGAATTACTGAGCTACTTAATCTTGCCATCCAATATTTCACGTTGAGTTTACTCGATTGCATATTGTTCCAACCATTCACTGATGACTGTATTGTATGAGTTTGTACACATGAGTATCTTTAAACAATTTTCAACTCATTTCTAGGCATTTTCTGATGAATGTAATGAGAAACCATAGTTGAAATTTGCAGGCTGTCTCAGATGAAAGAATATTACGACAAATAAAGTAACATCTGGTCGATAATGATCACCCTATCTCCACAGCCTCCGCCTTTAAAGTCATCTACAAGGCGAAAAGCAATTTGCCCAAATCACTACGTATCCAACTCATCTGCATTGCTGAAGCTTTGGCTATCGAAACAGAAAAGCCAGATCTCTGTGTACAGAAAAAGTTCGTTCAACCCCTCTAACTCTCATGGTCTTAATTCCTAATCATATTTTGGCTCTACTAATTTTTTTCGTTTTGTTTATTCAATTTATATACTCCTCCTTTATTACGCCAATTCTTATTACTATTATTCACACTTTGAACTGCTCCCGGTATTATTTCACTTGTTCCACTTGTCATTCTAAATCACTTCTGTTTTGTAATGTTAGATACTATGTTATCAAATTTCCCACAATGTTACGTAACGTTTTTATTTTTATTCTTTTTGTCTACTAATTCTATAATTGCATACACCTTCCAAGTTCTGTACATCCTATAGATCATTCTATACATGACATTAATTGTTTTGCCACTTGACATTTAACTATGATTATAATCCACAAACATGTTAATTGCATTTCATACTATTATAACTTTATGCATTCACACCTATGATTCAATTCCCTCACCTGATATAATTTCTTAAAAACCATATATATATATATATATATACATATATACGATTGTACAGCTTGATAATAAATTCGTTGAAAAGGAGCCTCTTCGCTGAATCACTTGTTTTGATTTTCTAAATGAAGTACTGTCTACCATTATATTGTCTTAAGCTTTTACTGTCTACCTAGGTGACAAGATGTCGTCTAAAAGGACGGTGAAATCTTTGCAGTTATACTGTTCAACTCACAAAACTCAATCAGCACACAAAGCATCGACTGGAGCTACAAATATCATCCATTAACATTATTTTACTCAGAGAATCCACAAGTGGAGTAGGTGTTTTGCAGTAAAACACTCTGAGAATTGACTATTGTCTGTAAGCAAGGTGTCCAGAATAAAGCTTCTGTTATTATCTTCTTAAAGGTGTTGTGGCCAGTATGTTGAGGCGTAGGTGGATATTAAGAAACGGCTTCGACGAGTATCACAATTATTTTCTTCTTTTAACAGATCCATTGATCAGGACACCACTCATACGACTATCAGCTGCGATCTAGTCAAGTAGGGATTTTTCCGCTCTGGCTTCAATGCTACCCCTACACACGCAATTCCTTACAAACCAGCCAAACAATCTCCTGACACCTGTAAAGTGAATTTCTCAGATTCATTCTGTTGGCCA